AACCGAGACCACCAGTTGGGCCCTGGGCGTCATCACCTACCACCTGCTCACCAAGCCCCACCTCCTCAGGAAGCTCCAGGACGAGCTGAACGCCGTCGTCGACGACCCCAAGCACCTCCCCGGCTGGACGAGTCTCGAGAACCTCCCTTACCTGAGTGCTGTCCTCCAGGAGGGTCTGCGCCTTTCGTACGGTGTCTCTGCGCGTACTGCGCGTGTGCCTACCGAGGAGAACCTGGTCTACCGCGGCGAATTCAACAAGAAGCCTATCGAGTATGTCATTCCTGCTGGCTACGCCGTGGGCATGTCTGCTGTTATCACGCACCATGACGAGACTGTGTTCCCCGACTCGTACCAGTTCATTCCCGAGCGCTGGCTGGACGAGAACAACCAACGCCGAAAGGATGTCGAGAAGGGTATGCTTGCCTTTTCCAAGGGCAGCAGATCTTGCTTGGGCATGAAGTAAGTTTCTTCTTGCTGAAACTTCAGTGGTACCGCGTTTGCTGACTTGTGTTTGAATAGCCTGGCTCTGTGTGAGCTCAACTTGTGCTTGACGGCGCTTGCTCTGCGTGTTCTACCCAAGATGCGTCTTTACGAGACGACGGACGAGGACGTTGCTTACGATCACGACATGTTCATCCCCGTGACTAAGCCGGGGTCGAATGGCGTGCGGGTGACGATAGTCTAACAGTCTTAGATTGTTTCCCACGGTTAGACTTACTTATCACAAGTGCCGCGTTCTCGGCCGGCTTAGTTTATTTCTTAATCTCAACTATTCCAAAAACATGCATACCAGAGTGGATGCCTTCGTCTCGCTACGCATAGAAACCCCCGTGGATGTGTCCCCCGGGATGAATGAATAACCCAATTCGGGACGGCTCGGGTTGGTTGTCTCTTTCTTTCGGGCTGTTCACAACTAGGGGGCGTTGACCGGTCAGATCAGAACTGGGCATATCACATCTTGGAACCCGAAAGCGGCAGAGCGGCTCGTCTTATCCTCGTACGAGATGACCGTCCAACAACGGCTCCCACAATTACATTGTAGAATAGACGGTGGTGATCCCAATTGTGGCTCCCCTCGACCTCGTGGTGATCGACATGTTTCAACCCCCAAAAGCAATCGTGGCAGAGGATTCCACTGCTCCAACTAGCGCCGGTCTGCCATGCGACTTGTCAGATCCCGTCATTGGACGGCTGTCAAGCCCGTTCTTCCATGCAACTTTTTCGACGCTTCTCTTCGGACGTTGGTGATGTCTTTTGCCTAGTGCTGTGGAGTCCTTTAGCGGTGGATGCTCATCCTCTTGCAACGGACCCCTGAGCGTTGTGCCGTCTTTGCTAGCGGCCCCCAATTCCAACCAACCCGGGCCCCCTCGGCCTGAAGACCGGTTCCTTCATTAGTGATCATTGGTGACGGGAAAGTGGGCAAATAAGACCCAGTTCGAGAACTGCTTCTTGGCCGTTTTCCTCTTCCAGACTATCCGGTTGCCATGGCCCATGGTTCTAGGGCCCCCTTCTCGATGGAAGACGGTCCCTGTTGGTTGCATCAGGTTTTCTTGACCAGTGGCAAGCCTAAGAACAAGTACGAGGTCTATGACAGTTCTCGAAGTGTCAAAGTGTCAAAGTAGCGCACCCCAAATGTTAATATCTGGGGTTGCATCCATGGAACCCAGAAACACGATCCCCGGTTCTGATCTTTTCGAGCAGTCCAAGACCCAAGACTAAACACTGCTACGCCGCCTCCTACAACCGGAACTGAATTTAGTTCCCAAGTGGCCCGTCCAGCTCCCCTGCATTAGTAGTATAGATCTGCAGGCTGCCGCTGCGGCACTTGAAGCCCCGAAGAGGGTTCTACCCGGAGGTTTATAAGTCGGGGAGTGCCTACTCTTTGTTCAGCACCACATCAGAAAACCGTGGCGTGAGGGTGGACTGCTACTGCTAAACGAAGAGAAGAAGGACTTGATCGAAGACCACGTGCCGCCCAATATGTCCTTGTCAACAAACGTCGACCCCGATCTACGAATCCTCGAGCCGGAGCATCTGCCACTAGCCATTATCATCATATCATCCGTCTTCCTCGTCATATCGGTGATATGTGTCGGAGTACGAACGAGTGTGCGCCTCGTTGAGGGCACATTCGGCCTGGACGATGGACTGATGCTCGCGGGAACGGTATGCCAACTCTCATCATCTCGAAGAAAATGAATAGCTTCACTAACCTGCTTCCCAAAAAGGTGGTTTACGTACCAAGCGTGGGACTGACGATATACGGCTGCCTCGTCGGGTTGGGCACGTTGCAAGAAAAGCTCAACATGTGGATGTTCTCAGAGGCCCTCAAGATCTACATCATCTGGATCTTGATATACGTCGTCGCCCTGGCCCTCGTCAAGTCATCCGTCTGCCTCACCATTCAACGAATCATCACGACGAACAATGCTCTGCGCATCACGGTCTGGGTCCTGCTCGGCGTCACGTGGGCTTCTTTCATGATCACCTTTATCGGAACGCTGTTATACTGTCAGCCGGTCGAGGCCATCTGGACGCCCACGATGATTCTCAGCGGCGAGGGAAAGTGCAGCTCTGTTGATGTTCTCATCGCCATCGGCCACGTTGCGACGAGCTCGGCTATTGTGACGGATCTGGCTTTGGTTGTTGTGCCTGCTATCATTCTCTGGGGCACGCAGATGAAGACGCAGACCAAACTCCAGGTCTTTGGTCTGTTGTCATTTGCCTCGGTGTAAGTTTGACCATTGGAGGGAAGCATACCACGATGTCAAAGCTAACGCAGCTCCAGAGCATCCATCATCACCATGGTCCGTATCCCCTATGTCAACAAATTCAAAGGCCAGACAGACCTTCAATGTGAGTAAAGCCCGCTCCTCAAATCTATTGCGTCATAGAAAAAAAACTGACCAGGGACCTTTCAGTCTGGGTCGCCCACACGATGCTTTGCTCCAACATCGAGACCGGAATCGGCTGCATCGCCTCATCGGTGCCCTCGCTACGTCGTTTCATCGCGCGAACCCGCGGCACGTCGGAAAAGACGAACCCGAGTGGTAGCGGAACCAAAACGGGTCTCTTCACCATCGGAAGCAAGCCGCTCGAGCCCAGAAGCCGCGACCGATTCCGCAACCCGACCGACGTGGGCTTCAGCCTGGCGACGGTGCACGGCAGAGGGGACGAGACCTGGGAGCGCCTTCAGGACGGCGACTCGGATAAGGGGGACTTGCTGCCGAGCGACCAGAAGGGCGGCATTCACGCGCAGTACACATATCAGGTTGACATTGAAATGTCACACGACATGAGAGCTTCAGGAGGTCGGCCTGGGCCTATGGATCGTCACTGAAAGAAGGGACGTGAATAGCCGGGTGGATGTTGGAATGTCAAAGGTACGGATGCTAGTTTTCAGACTAATGTATAAAATCCTGTAGAATATCCACTTGGAATGCAACCTTACTCCAACCCGACGTGCGCGTTTTGTCAACGGAAATTAATCAAAAACCAAGGCAGTGGCCAAAATAACTGCAGCAGAAATCTTCCCACAGGCCAATGATGACCCAAAAACCCTCATGTTTTAGCCTCTGTTCCGCTTCCTTGACAGCAGAAACTCCACTTGGGTGACAAAGAGCAAATGGGCAGAAAAGATCCCACCGGGCATCATGAACATATTGGCCGTCAGCACACGTGTTGGAACCCTGTCCCTGCAAGGTGCTCTGCCCCTGAACGGCGCTCTGGCCTCTTCAGCATCAATGCATAAATGAACTGGATGGAGCCCAGCTTCCAACGAAGGAACACCTGCCCAGCGGCCCAGCCCCCAATAACCGATCGGGAATGTGGGTGGACGAGGAGGAAAACCTCGTGGCTCGTATTATTGATCCAACGAAGGGGGCGATTGTGGAAGGAGAATGGAGTCACGCACAAAGTGGAATATCGGGCTTTTATGTCAGTGCGAGACTGGGCAGATCCGATAGCCGAGCCAAGAGGAGAAGTTGCTCGTGGTTGTGAACCTGTGTCGATTCTCACTACCACCTATAGGTACTGCGGTAAGAAAGCAATACAACGGTGAAGCTTGAGTAATGAGTACAGGGGAAGTGTAATTCGGGCAAAATTCCATTCCCAGTCCGCAGGTCGCGGACATGATCTGACAAGACTAAAGAGGAGTTGAACGATCGTTGAAACTGTGATGTGTTGAGCGGTGAACCCCCTTGAAAATAGCGCCTACGGCAAATCTTGGCAGAAAGAGAGTTTCGGTGCTGGTCGAAACTCAGGAGCTCTGGCAATTTGCTGAGGCGCAAGATTGAGATCGAGTGTCTTGGCTGGCGAGCGAGATATCCATTTTCATAATCCCATGAACCTTGAATAGACAAGTTCGAGGCTCAGAGCCTCAGTGCCTAACAAACAAGCGCAGTGATCTATGCCTCAACCGGGTAAGCATTTTCTCGGGCGTGGAGAAGCTAAGCAGCGATGATGGCATGAAGCTTTTCGGTCAACTTTCTTGAGACTAAGGCCCTCTTCTCGCGATAATTGGTGAGTTCAGCTATGAACAGATAGACTGGGTCCGGATTCCGCGAGGAAGAAGCCCCGATGCCGTGTCCCCATCACCTTGAGAAGGCCTCCGACCCGGCTTCGACCCCCTCCTTGGCCGGATGGTCTCCACTTTCTCGGCGAATGAGCGGGCATTGGGACCCCACGTGAACCCGGAGCCCGCCGATGATCAGAGAAACGTGGGTAAACATTGCCGGCCCAATGGTAACCTGAAGCGGAAGGTCAAGAGATACTTTTGTTGAAGTAACGATGTGACGACGACATGCAGCTGCGAGCGTGCCATCGGGATTCTCATTGTTTTCCCCTCACTCCATCATTCTCAACATGTGTGTTTTGAAAGGTAATAGTTTCAGAGACCTTCAGGATAAAGACTCTAGGCATAAATGCTGCTCTGGTTCCCTTCATTCTTCACTGACGTATCATATCTAAAATAAGTCTCAGACGTAATTCCATAAGCAGCCATGAAGTCCCACCTAGCAGCGACGTGGTTTTTCGGAGCGAGCTTTGTCAGTTGCCAGACACCCGACCTTGCTCTACGCTTCATAACCTACAACATCCGCTGGGCCACCCCAGACCCAGGAACCAACGAAGCCCCCTGGTCCACCCGCCGACCTCACCTCTTCTCCCAGCTCAACTACGAGACCGCAGCCCGGCCCGAGTCCCTGGTCTGCATGCAAGAAGTTGTCGAAGAACAACTCCTCGACATCGCCCAAGACCTCGGCCCAGCCTGGTCCCATGTCGGCGTGGGCCGAGACGATGGCGTCGCTGCCGGGGAGTTCTCCCCGATCTACTACCAGCCGGGCACCTGGACCCTCGCGGAGAACCGAACATATTGGTTGAGCGAGACGCCTGATGTTCCCGGGTCCAAGGGCTGGGATGCCGCGCTCCCGCGCATCGTGACTGTCGCGTCGTTCCGACATGTAGACAGTGGAGTGCCGCTGGTGTATATGTGCACGCACTTTGACCACGTGGGCCAGGTTGCAAGAGAACGTAGCGCAGAGCTTTTGGTCAGCCTGGCGAAAGAGTGGGAGAACTCGACAGAAGGGGTTGTGCCGGTGTTTCTGGGCGGCGACTTGAACATTGAGCCGGATAACGCGGCATATCAGACCTTAATTGCGGACGGGAACTTGCACGATATCAGGGATGTGGTTCCCGAGTCTAGGAGAGTGGGATTTTCGAAGACGTATACTGCTTTCACGGACGACACGTCGGATGATACGTTTCTTGATCACCTGTTTGTGCGGGATCCGGCGGTTAGAGGGATGGACTTCTTAACTCATGCGGTTCTGCCGAATCACTTTGATGATGGCGTGTATATATCAGATCATCGACCTGTTGTCGCAGATGTTATGATTAATGTGTAGATCAACGGGGGGCTTTCCAGGTCAAGCTGATAGTCCTTTGCTTACATCAAGGAGTTTGCAGGAACGTCTGATAATCTCAGCCATCGGCTATCGAGACTTGAGCTACCTCACAGATGGCCTGCTTGGTCGTACTGTCTTGGTGCACCATGAAGAACACACGCGCGGAAAGGTCAATGGAGGCTTAGCACGTAGGGATCTATGGCACTCGGTGCTGATAGTTCACGGACATCTTGGCCCAGATGAATTCAGATGAGTCCCAAGTTGATGGCTGAAATATCCCCCTCCCAACTCCGTATAACCTTCATGCCGCCACTACCAAACTCCTATCCCATCAAACGCCAAATCCCTCTTTCATATCTAGTAGCTATCATAAGGCTTCTGCCCAAAGACAACGTGGAACGTCAAGTAGGAGTGTATCGACACATTCATCAGACTCTTCCGCACATCAATCAAGAACACCTCCACCTCGGCAGGACTCCACTTGAGCCCCCTCGTCAACGGTGCCATACTCACAGCCTGCAGCGCATCAATGAGCATACTGCGGTTGTACAACCCAATCGTCTTGAGCTTCTGGTCCCGCGGCCACGTCCCGATGGGCACCTTCCACACCTTTTCAACAACATTCTCGAACCCGCTCTCGCGGAGCATCTCCGAATTCCTCTCCATCGCCAGCGGGTTGATGCCGAAGCTCCGGAACCCGGACATGCAGAGGTCCACAAACTTGCCGTAGCCGTACTCCTCGGGTCCGGGCATCGTCCCGTCGTCGCACTGCAGGACGAACCGCAGCTCCTGCATCTCGACCCAGCCGCCGGGCTTCAGCGCGGTGAAGGCTTGGGAGAGCATGCGCGGCCAGTTCTTGACGGCCATGCACATGTGCCGCGCGTGAACGAAGTCGAGGGAGGATGGCGGCCAGACCCATTCTGCCTCTGCGTCGTCGACGACGAAGCGAACGTTGGGGGGCACCCAGGTTGGTTGGATTGGGCTCAGGTCGATGCCGGATATGTCTGCTTCTGGATATTCGTCGCCCACTTGAGGTATTGTCAGTGCTTGCTCGAGTTCATTTGTTTATTGCACGATGTCGTCCTGTGAAAGGTTGTCCAGCCTAACCGTCTACCTGCCATCGTGTCTGTCATGAAAACACTGTCGAAATAGCAGGCACAAAGCAGACGATCATGAGAAGAGATGCTGAGAGAAGACTCACTATCAATAGCCCAGATTCCTGTCCCCGTACCAATATCAATAATCTTTTGCGGATTCTCCAACGGCGCGCAATGAAGCTTCCCATCCATGACATTAACGCACATGGCATGCTTCATATCCTCGCGCTCCTGCTCCGGCTCGTCGTTGGGCATCAGATACCGGCCCTCCATGTACTTGTGATACCGCCGCGTGTTCTCAAAGACGTAGTCGCGCACACTGTTGGACAGCGACGTTGAGGCCGAGTGGTTGCCGATGCTGCTGCCGTCGAACCCTTCGTCCCAGACCTCGTCCCCCGCCCGCGACGACGCGCCGTCATCCTCCGTGTCGGCCTCGACCACGTTCTCCGCCTCAAAGTCCTGCTGCGGTGGCGTCTGCCGTCCCCCTGATGCTGATCGCGAGCGGTGTCGCGGTTGAGGAGGAGGTGACGGTGACTTTTCGGGCTGGTCGGCTTCTCCTCTTGCTGTGGTGGCGTCTGTCATGGTATGTGCGATGCTGGCTCAAACCAGGCTAGAAATGAAGAAAAATACGAGCGCCCTGGTCTATCCTTTTCCCTTCCCACGGTTCCTGCTCGAGTCTATCACCGAGGCGAGCGATTGATACCGCTGTCTCCGATGGACGTCGTCTGGTGTTCTCAAGTGAGGGCTCGTGTGTCTGGCCAGGATGTGCCACGAACTGGAAGTTGAATTGGAGATTGGTGAACGTAAGAATGCTACAGAGAGGGAGGGAAGCGCGTGCTGGGGTCTTTGACCAGGTCCAGGAACACAAGTGTCTTTCTGCCAGAAACCTTAAACGGTTTCTTGGGAGCGGCACCCTGTACGTAAGAGAAAGGCAGAGTGGTTCTGGTGGAATAACGTGGACCGAGCCAGTCTGGTATGAGCAAAGTTGGATGACCATCTAAGGAAGGGGAAGAAGAAAGTGAAAGACAGGAAAAGCCGCCAACAAAAGCCGTTGAGACCGGAGTTTCGGAATCCGTTCCTTTCTTTTTTTCTTCTTACTTTCTTCTCCTACGGCTACGGGCCTTTTGTTCCTGTCTGTCTGTCAGCTGCGCATCAGCAGCAACAGCAGCAGCTCGACAGAAAGGAAACGTCTGCTGTGTGTGTGTGAGTCTGCGCGTTCCAAAGTGGCATGTCGGCTCAGTAACTTCGATGCCCCTGCGCCATCCTTTTCGCTCAACAGACCTATCAAGCTCCGTCCTGAACAACTTTAGCCGGTTTTGGTAGGAGACCGGCGCCACGGTCTAGAAGTGTTAGTACAGAGGCGGATTCCTTTTTCTCACCAGACTATTCCCGGAGCGTGGGCCACGAGCAGAATAGCTGGACACGGCAGACTCCTCGATTGTGTCTGTGAGAGAGCTGAACGCTCTGCCGTCATGCAGTGGCGCTCCGAGATGTCTCTGTTTCTCCGTCTTGTTTGGCTGGGTTTTCTTTCAAGCACGCGGTCTTCTTTCTCCTCTTTCTCCCCCCCTCCTCTGAAAGTCGAGGTCCTCCAACCGCCGGACCGTCAGTCCACGTCTGCGGCCCCCCTCCTCTTTCGCTCAATTCTCGGTGCTCAACTGGTTGTGCTGCTTTAGCTCGACAGTAGCTGCGTTTGTGCCATTGGCTAGCCGGTAGAAACCCCTCCGATCCTTCGAGGAATGTGTCCCCAACCCATGCGGAAATATGTAGGACTAAGACGAGCGCGGGACGTTTTCACCGACGTGGGTTGAGACACCACACCGAGCTGCCGCATCCAGTTACCGTCCATCCCTGAGGGTAGCATCACCGCATCGGGTGAGGAGAAGCCTGGGAACTTGAGGCGCATCAGAAGGGAAATGGAGACCAGAAGTTCTCTTTTCGCGCTTTTCCCTCTCCCCTCAAGTCATTGCTCCCCTCTCCGATCTCAATATCCTTTGCCGAAACTTTGCGTGCGCTTGACTTGTCACTGGGCAGCACAGTTCATCATCCCATCTCACCCACATTCCGTCAAGTACACATTCTCCAACAACGCGACGCCTGTCAAATCCCGTGTGCCCGGTTTCTCGTGCGGCGTAGTCAAACTTTCTATCCCATGCAATCAGACCGTTGATCTGCAAACCTGCAGCGGAACCCACATACCTCGTTCGAAAAAGGGAACGTAATCGCATCCCTCGTGTAACACGGTCGTGCACATCCCGCGCCGGTAGAACTCTGTTTGCTTCGGCTCTGTTTGCTTCGCAGGGTCCCACACACCGAAAATGACCGGCGACATGGGCGCTCAGATCCGGGAGGAGGCCGCGGCAGCGACGGAAGAAGTCAACGCGGCCCTCCAGAGCTTCATTACGAGTCCCGGACCGTCCGGAGGTGACTTGGACAAGGGCCAACGGCGGCGCATCATCGATGCGGCGAATAAGCTCATCAATGCCGTCAAGGACCCCGGCGATGAGTGGTTCGATGCCACGGCGCAGGTCGCGCAGCTGGGCGCGAACCGGCTCTTTTGGGAATGGAAGGTCTATGATCACATCCCATCCGAGGGTAGTATCTCATACGGTGAACTGGCCAAGAAGGTTGACGCCGATGTATCTCTGATCCGTAAGTCTGAGATGCACTGCCCCAGGGCCAAACCAAGCTATCGGGAGTCTTTGCTAACACTTGTTCAGGACGAACTGGTGGTGTGCTGACATCAATGGGCATCCTCCAACAAGTTGGCGACGACTCCGTCGCGCACACCAAGCGCTCTCGTATTTACATCGACGGTCACCCAGCGGGTCAAATCGTCGGCATGGCGTCTGTTCTCTCCCTGCCCACCCCCCCTCAATCATCACCGCCCCCGAAACGCCTTACTAACACCCTAACACAGATGGGAAAACGGCCTGGTACCGTACGTCCACATGCCCGCCTACTTTGAAAAGTACGGCCGCAAGGAACCGCAGACGCTCAACAACGTCCCCGGCACGTACGCGTACGGCGTGCCAGAGTACGGTTGGTACGAGATGCTGCAGCACGACCCGCCGCGGATGCAGCGGTTCCTGCGCGCCATGGGCCCGATTGAGGAGAAGATGCCCATTTCGGGCATCTATGACTTTGGGTGGGTTGTCGAGTACGCTCGCGAGAACGCGAGTGACCGGCCGCTGTTTGTCGATGTCGGCGCGGGGCGAGGCCAGTCTATCAAGGCGATCCATCGCGAGAACCCTGGGCTTCCGTTGGAGAGGTGTGTGTTGCAGGATCGTGCTGAGGTGGTGGAGGCTGTGAGGAAGCTTGATGATGAGGATATGAGGTTGGTGCAGAAGCAGGTTATTGATTTCCATAAGGAACAGCCTGTTAAAGGTGAGAGCATATTTTCTCTGTCGAGATGTTGCTGGTTCATCACTTGGTGAAGCCAGATGCATTTTTCCTTCCGTCGCAAGGGGTTTCCGGGCTGATGGCTGATCGTGCAACAATTTCAAGGTGCCCTGACGTACTGGATCCGCCGGTGTCTACACAACTACGGCGACGATCTGGGCGTCAACATGCTCCGCATCATCGCCGAGGCTATGGCGGAGGACAGCCGGCTCCTGATCCAGGAAGACGTCATGGGGAACCCGCCACACTACACCTCCACGATGCTCGACTTCATGATGCTCACTTTTGGCGGCAAGCAGCGGTCGCTTGAGTGCTGGACCGACATTCTCGGGAGGGCGGGCCTCGCGATCAAGAGCGTGTCCACGGGTCAAGGACCGTGGCGGCACCTTGCCGTGATTGAGTGCATCAAGGCCGGGAGGTGAGGGTATCTTGACTTTGGAGGTTGGATTCCGGGACGAGGTTGGGAGGTTGAATAGTCCTTGAGTCTCTGTGCAGAGAGGATTG